ATTACAGGCCTCTCTCATCTTTTTAAGTGGGAGAACTTGCACAATTGGTGGCTGACTAAATACTTTTTTGCCCCTCTGTATATAAATCAGTGAATAAATAAATGACCAACCAACAGATAGTAAGTAAGTATGCTTGAGACCAATCTGTTTGAAAGACTGTGCAGGACTTCAGATTCAGTTCCAAAAATGGTATATGAAGTTTGCAGGGACAGAAACATAGCACCTGTTTGCAACTTTTTAAAGCAGTTGCATCTTCTTCTAGTGTCACATGGATTCTGGGAAAAGACATGGCTTCTTTAAAGTGTCACAGAAAATGTTTAAAGTGTTGCTATGTTTGCACCCCTGCATGCTCTAAATTTGGAATTGAATCCAAAGAATAGCACAGACCTATTTTTTAACTGATAGATTTTAATTACTCTACATTTAATTATAATTCTGTAGGTTAGATTTATTTGTATTATTGTTAGTTTCATCTTATACTGCTTTGGAGGGAAAGGCCGAAAATAAATCCAATAAATCATTACTGGATTTATTCCCCTGGTTTCTCTTCAATTCTGTAAGGGATCTTAGGCTCAGATTAGAATCCATTCCTGGGTTCTGCTGTACAAGCAACACAGAAACTAAGTTTTTCCCCCCTTTATAAATGGGCAGTTTGAGCAGTCTGAGCAGTTGCATGATCTATTGCTTCAGTCCCTAGATTTATGCTGAGAGAGAGAGAGAGAGAGACTCCCACGTAGGCAGAAAGAGGAATGAAAACTTACATTTCATCTGTGCAGCATCCTTTCTATACAATCAGGCCACCATCTACATTAGAAGAAATAATGATTTAGAATGGTACTAGCTTCAACATTTTGCCAGATTACCAAAGTTCTTGTTTATTCAGTATTGTCTCGAACCTTGACTAGAAAACACTTTTTGGAAAATGCCTTTGATATTAACTTTAGTGCACTTCCAGATAAAATAGGAACATTCAGACTGAGAACTAAAACACATTTACTTAGAGCTAGAGCAAAAATATGATTTATTGAATCTTCTAAAAGAGCAATAATCGTTCATTTAGGCTAAGTATTAGGAATTCTGAGGTTGGGGTCCAGTTTTACTCTCCCTGAACACCCAGAATCTTTTCATTTACAGGGGGAATTGAGAGTCAGTATAGGCTGTCTGCTTGAGGGGGGCTTGGGGCAATGATTTGCACACACTCTTCCTGTTCCCTGCAACCCTAGTGTTGCTTCCATTGATCCACAGTATCTTCTGTTCAGCTACAGCAACTTTTCAAGGGCAGAGAAAGGAGGAGGAATCAGTGAAAACTGCTGATGTATGATCTTCCTCCAGATCCACTGGAAGTCCATTGAGAATAATGGAGAATACTGGATCCAACTCAACTTATTCTAATTGTAAAAGCTACTCCAATGTAAAAGAAGCTGCCTAGAGGAAAATTATGAAGCTGTCCACCATGACAACTTTAGAAAGGAAAAAGAATGACCTTGGATCTATTCAGCAGATAGTTGAACTATATTATTTCTGGATTGTACATATTAGATAGTTTTAGGGGGCCTAAGAGAAATAATAATGGAGAAAAATAATACAATTCTGTCTTTAAAAATAAACAATATTTAGGGCATTCTACATGATGAATCTATAGAGATCTCTATGAAGTTTTGGAAATGAATAAAAGACAAAACTTTGGCAACTAGAAAATGCATCTTTTAAACTCTTGAAGTAATATCTCAAATGTCTTAGAAAAATAAAGCAGTACTCTTTAAAAACGATCGTCTTAAATTAGGCACTCAAATTGCAAATCTGTCAGTGAGAATATCTCTATATAGCATCATCCTAACCTTCTGACTTCTGCTATTTTTCACAGATGCTGCATCCATGTAAGTATTTAAATGGTACGGAAGCAGCCTATGAGACTTTTAAATATATCTTTCTTGCAGTCACTTAGGCAATGGAAAATCCTGAAAATCATGGGAGCTTCTCTTTGAAGCATAATTTTCCTTCGTAGAATTTTTCCATCTAACCCACTGAAACCTGCTGTTTTAAAAGTGCTAGAGACACACAGCTATTCCTAGCACCTAAACA